GAACTACAATGTACGTCCAGGGTAGGCGGATGTAAATGGATGATGATCCATTTACATTTGTGTCTTTCTTTTTAACCAGAACAAGGCAGGTCCTTTTCCATTTAGACAGATCTGAAGGATGTAAACGAACGCTATCCATTTATATCCCTTTATGTCCATTTTTATGGAAAGGAACATTTTTTGTTTATACTTTTGTCACCTGATTTGTTTCTGCAACAATGAAGGCCCCTTTCGCACAAAGGGTCTGATCAGGTCTTCCTGTCAGTATTTCAGGCGGACCATATCGGACCCTCCATTCATCCCTATAGACTGGTGGGTGTAAAAGGACTTGTGCCCCTTTACACCCACCTACCTCCAATCCGATTGAAAAAAAAAAACAAAACACTTCAGGCGGATCAGAGGGTAGTTGGGTGTAAATAGACTGCGGAGTCTGTTTACACCAGGCTGCCCATACAGCAGAAGGGCTTGTGTATGTGTCCCCTCTGCATAAACAGAGCAGACAGGGAAGTGTCATCTGCCTGCTTTGCTCTGATCAGTGGACAGATCTCCTGCTGATATAAATGGAGCCCAGCCCGTGATCGGGGCTTAACAAAAAATTGATGCAAAAGCAGATGTAGGCTGATGTAGAATTAAATGAATATAAACTGATGTAAACTGAACTGAAGACAGTTGTGCAAACTGATGTAATCTGAATCCACATTCATCAGTCACAAAAATGTGATGGTGCCCGTGTGAAGAGACCCTTAGTACACCTTCACCCGAGACGGCTGGCTGATCCCTCCAAAGGAGACCTTATTAGGAGGATAAAAGGAAATGATGTAGTAATATTAGTCATGCCTATGAATTTCATCTCAGGAGTCATAATTCTGGGGAAAAGGGCAAACATATTGTGGAAGGAGGGGGAGGATATATTAAAGGATAAGTTGACCTTTTAGACAAAAATAATAAATGCACATTTTTTTGCAGGTAAAAAAAAAATGTGCATTTATTATTTTTGTCTACAGGATTCTGAAAAGCATTGCACCAGCGATCCGTAGATCACCGATGCCATGCAGGTCTCCTAAAAACGGGTGAAGCATATAAATTGTTCCCAAAGATGAACTTATCCTTTAACTCTGCAGAACAGTAGCTGAAAACTGGAGAAATGAGGCAGATTTACTGCAGATCACAGCTTGATTCATTATCCACCACATTGGCTGCTCAAGGCTACTTCCTAAAGGACATATGCAGGGGTGGGAAAACTGCAGCCCTCCAGCTCTTGTGGAACTACATGTCCCATGACACACTGCAAGACTCATGGCCACAAGCATGATTCCCCAGAGGCATGATGGGACTTGTAGTTCCGCTACAGCTGGAGGGCCACAGTTTCTCCACCACAATCTAAAGGCTCCACTACAAGAAACTAAACAAATTTCAAATTCAGTCACAGATTTGCATCTCACACACTCCTCCTCCCAGACACTGCAGCTCACAGTGGAAAATTTCCGCTACAGAGGCAGTGCTGTCAATTCAACAAGCAGGAGAAGCCTACATAAATGCGACAACCCTGCTCTGAATTCAGGAGCAGTGAAGCATAGTTGCCCACTCCATCACAGGAAGCTGAATTAGATGGATTTCACTGACAGAAACAGGTATTTGTGGACGTTTGCAGGACTAAGGAAACGCAAGTGCAGATGTACTTACTGTGCAACATTTTTTAGTGGAAGGTCATAGTTCTACTTTAAATAAGTTCAAAGGTTCTAACATGTTACACCTGTATTCAGGGTGTAACATGCAACATGTTACTGATGCAGCAGCCCCCACACCTCACAAATCCCCTGTTGTCACAGCGGGCAGGGAATCTTCTCCCCACACCTGCTGTTACAATTTAGGAAAAAAAAAAAAAAACCACCGTGGCCACGCGAAGCTTCACCTACCCAGCCATGTCATTCATTCACACAGTTCTGTGAATGGGAGAACTACAACCAACATCGGCCATTGCGACTGACAGCTTGCAGTGCTCAATGAACTACCGTGGCGCTGATGAGCACTCTAGGCAGTTTACCGATGCTTCCTGTCATTCAGTAACTGCCTGCCTGCTGCTACACTGACAATCTGCAGGAGCCTGAGATTGCACCCACAATCTGCTGATTGTAGATGTGAAACAGGCTACTAAAAAAAATAACTGTACATTTTTTTTTTACCTACAAAAAGATGTGCATTTTTTAATTTTTTTTTTTTTTACAAAGGAGAATTTATCCTTTAAAGTAAGCCTGTGGATGGTCGCTGTTGACCTGAAAATGCTAGTTGTCCAAATGTTCACAAAAATAAATAAAAGCCTGTGCCTGTTCCTGGTTATTGTATCAACAAATGGAAGTGGAAGGGCCAGCTAGATAGCCGTATGAAACTTAAAGGGAAAAGTCAGCAATGGCCGTCTATTATGATAGGATCACCATAAAGGAAACCAAGAGAATGATGTAGGATTGTTAGGCTGCCATTGTTGATCTTTTGAAAATGCAAACTGCACATTTGTTCCAAGTCACTGGTTTGGGACAACAATGCAGCCTGTGAAGGCCAAAACTATTTATACTGCTTTCATGTCAGTGTAAGAATTAAAACCACTGAGTCAAGACAGCCAGGCAGCTGAGTATTCTCAGGATGTCAGCAATGCAAACCCTTGTATTTCTCTCGCCACAAATGTTCTTAAAAACAGAAATCCAGGAAAAAATGTTTTGGCCCGTGCAGAGGTGCTGTGCCAGCACTGCACGGGTCAATCGCTCATTTTGTTCTAGGGGACAGGACATTGAAGATATACTTACCTGACCTGCCCATCCTCCCCGCACAAGACCTGTCCTTTCGGCTTGTTTCTCCCCCCCCCGTGGTCAGGTAACTGGGCTGTTCCTGACGTCAGCATGCTCAATGCACGTTCCACAGACAGGAACAGTCCACCCCTGGACCGTAAAGGAAGCGCGGTATTCCATAGGATTGGTGGGTCAGATGAGTATGAGCTTAGTCCTCACCCTTGGAAAAGACGAGCAGCTGATCCATGCACTGCATTGTAAAAAATATTCTAAGTGGAATTCTGCTTTAAAGAAACATTGTCATCCCACCTATCCAGGCCAAAGTGTTAGTAACTTTGTAAATGTTCCCCCAGCACCCTATACTCACCTTACCACTCCTGCTTTCATCCAAAATACCTGGTGCTTCCGAGTATGCATCTCCTACCATTTTTGTTAGCCACCCGCAAGGCCCAAGAACTGTTACAGGACCAGTCAAGTGACATCACTACTACTTTTAGCATCCTTGGATTTCAGAGGCTGGGGAGGCATGAGCTGTGATGGAGCGCAGATAAGGCGAGTATAGCTGGGGAGGAGCGAACCCTTTACAAAAGTCACAGAGTCTCTAAAGTGTACAGGATACCTAAATAAAGAAATTAAAAAAAAAAAAAACTACTGCAAACACACCAGAAATTAGGTTACAAATGTTTGCAAACCTTTTGCAGCTTGATGTCCTATATTGTAGGAAAAGGGATTGCAAACCACAGGCAAAACTGTTGTTGGGTTGCAAATGCTTTGTTAAATGACTGGGAGCGAGGCTTTACTAGTCAGATTCTGTCTCTGCCAGTAACTTTCCTGATAAACCCCACTAAAGGCGCTCAGTCTATGCCACATGTGAGGAGCAGGCCGCCTCCCCCCGAGGCTGTGCCCCAGGCGGGGAGCAGGCCCCTCCCCCCTGGCTATGCCACGTGCAGGCCCCCACCCCCCTGGCTATGCCACGTGCAGGCCCCTCCCCCCCTGGCTATGCCACGTGCAGGCCCCTCCCCCCCTGGCTATGCCACGTGCAGGCCCCTCCCCCCAGGCTATGCCCACGTGCAGGCCCCTCCCCCCAGGCTATGCCACGTGCAGGCCCCTCCCCCCAGGCTATGCCACGTGCAGGGAGCAGGCCCCTCCCCCCCAGGCTATGCCACTTGCAGGGAGCAGGCCCCTCCCCCCAGGCTATGCCACTTGCAGGCCCTTCCCCCCCAGGATATGCCACGTGCAGGCCCCTCCCCCCAGGCTATGACACGTGCAGACCCTTCCCCCCAGGCTATGCCATGTGCAGGCCCCTCCCCCCAGGCTATGCCATGTGCAGGCCCCTCCCCCCCCCAGGCTATGCCATGTGCAGGCCCCTCCCCCCAGGCTATGCCATGTGCAGGCCCCTCCCCCCAGGCTATGCCACGTGCAGGGAGCAGGCCCCTCCCCCCAGGCTATGCCACTTGCAGGGAGCAGGCCCCTCCCCCCAGGCTATGCCACTTGCAGGGAGCAGGCCCCTCCCCCCCAGGCTATGCCACACACAGGCCCCTCCCCACAGGTTATGCCACTTGCAGGAAGCAGGCCCCCTCCCCCCAGGCTATGCCACATTCTGGGCACAGCCCCCAGTCTATATAAAAGGGGGAAAAAAGGTGGCGTCCACATTTTACAGTGGGAAAGAAAGGATTGCAAGATAGGGGGAGGGGAAAGTGTAAGGAACACAGAACTGGGACAATATATATTCTCTTCTATGGCAGGTGCAGGGGGGTTATTCAAGGGGGATGGGTAATACAGAGCAGTGGGGGTGTGCACCTCTGTCAGTGGTAGGTGGGTGTATTATGGGAAGGGGGGTGATAAGTATTGGCTGCTGGAGGGTGCAGAGGGTATTATGAAGGTGGGTAAATATACAGCACAGCAGGTGGGGGGGGAGGTAAATATACAGCACAGCAGGTGGGGGGGTGCAGTGTTCAGAGCTTCCTGTCAGGGGTATGAGGGGGAGGGGTGAGAAGTATTGCCCCATGACAGGTGTAGGGGGCATTGGGGAGGAGCAGGTCTCGGGGGGTATTATGAGGAAAGAAGGGGTAGTAGGTTCTTCCTCCTGACAGCTGACGGGGCATTGGGGGAGGGGGTGCAGTGGGCTGAGCTCCTGGATAGATAGGTGGGGGGAGGGGAATGCAGTGAAGGGTTAAGCAGGCACAGCGCGCCCCCTCCCGGCCGGCTCCCCTCTCTCACCAGGCGCAGTTGGCTGATCTGATCGTAGCTCAGGAAGTTCAGGATGTTCTCGATGGCCACGATGGGGAGGTTGAGCAGAGAGTGCTGCACTGCTGGGACCCCCCGGAGGACGAGGAGCCCCCCGGACCGCACTCGCTCCCCCTCTCCTCCCCGGCTGCCGACATCTTTTTTCCTCCAGCGCAAACACCCGCCCCCGGCTGACGTCACTTCCGCCACTGAGGCGGCCGCCGTCCTAATACAGAGGGGGCGGGGCTGCGTTGTGTCTGGGGGTAGAACGTACTGCCCTGTCTGTGGAGGGCTTCTCTATGGGGGGACACAAGATGGAAACACAAGACCAATAAAGATATTTGGCGGGTTACCCGCCCTCACATCTTCTGGCTGCTCAGTTACATTATGTCAGCATATTTTTCCCCTTTACCTGCCAGTGACCCACTTCCTGTCTGGGGTGACAACACTCAGTGCACTTTGTCTATGGAGGAGCAACGTTGTCACCCTAGAACAGAAAGTGTGTTAGGACTACAGACTACCTCCTCCTCTCCCCATCTTCATGACATAGGGGGAGGAGGTGTTTTGTAAAGCACTCAGGCAGGAATGATAACATTGAGGTCTCAGAGCAGCTTTGCTCACTACAGGAAGTGTTGACAAAATGCTTCCAATGCTGTATTTAGTCCTTTTGCTGCCATTGATATGTGGCAGGGGAAGGGGGTTTACACACACCAACATTTGGCTTTAAGATGGAGCCCCCTGAACAGGTAACCCTCCCCTTGCCATGTTTTCCTGTACCCCACTATCCCACCTGCTGGTCCGGGGCCCACACGGCAGTGGGTAGAGGAGAAGGAGACCAGCAAACGCCCATTCACTATTTTCCTCTTTCTAAAAAGAACCTGGAAGTGATACAGATTTTGTCAGTCCATATTCTGCTGTCACTTTCCCTGGCTGCTGTGGCTGGGCAAGGAGTTAATGGAGTGCAGAGGAGACATACAGTGCCTTGAAAAAGTATTCAGACCCCTTGAAATGTTCCACATTTTGTAATGTTACAACCAAAAACGTAAATGTATTTTATTGGGATTTTTATGTGATAGACCAACACAAAGTGGCACATAATTGTGAAGTGGAAGGAAAATGATAAATGGGTTTCAAATTTTTTTACAAATAAATATCTGGAAAGTGTGGCGGCATTTGTATTCAGCCCCCCGGATGTCTCTACCAGCTTTGCACATCTAGAGAGGGACATTTCTGCCCATTCTTCTTTGCAGAATCACTCAAGCTCTGTCAGATTGGATGGAGAGAGTCTGTGAACAGCAATTTTCAAGTCTTGCCACAGATTCTCAATTGGATTTAGGTCTGGACTGTGACTGGACCATTCTAAACACATGAAGATACTTTGATCTAAACCATTCCATTGTAGCTCTGGCTGTATGTTTCGGGTCGTTTTCCTGCTGGAAGGTGAACCTCCTCCCCAGTCTCAAGTCCTTTGCAGGTTTTCTTCTACGATTGCCCTGTATTTGGCTCCATCTTCCCATCAGCTCTGACCAGCTTCCCTGTCCCTGCTGAAGAAAAGCATCCCCACAACATGATGCTGCCACCACCATGTTTCACGGTGGGGATGGTGTGTTCAGGGTGAGGTGCAGTGTTAGTTTTCCTCCACACATAACGTTTTGCTTTTAGGCCAAAAAATTCAATTTTGGTCTCATCTGACCAGAGCAGATTCTTCCACGTGTTTTCTGTGTCCCCCACATGGCTTCTCACAAACTGCAGACGGGACTTCTTATACCTTTCTTTCAACAATGGCTTTCTTCTTGCCACTGTCCCATAAAGGCCAGATTTGTGGAGTGCACGACTAATAGTTGTCCTGTGGACAAATTCTCCCACCTGAGCTGTGGATCTCTGCAGCTCCTCCAGAGTTACCATGGGCCTCTTGGCTGCTTCTCTGATGAATGCTCTCCTTGCCCGGCCTGTCAGTTTAGGTGGACGGCCATGTCTTGGTAGGTTTGCAGTTGTGCCATACTCTTTCCATTTTCAGATGATGGATTGAACAGTGCTCTGTGACATGTTCACAGCTTTAGATATTTTTTATAACCTAACCCTGCTTTAAACTTCTCCACAACTTTATCCCTGACCTGTCTGGTGTGTTTCTTGCCCCACATGATGCTGTTTGTTCCCTAATGTTCTCTAACAAACCTCTGAGGGCTTCACAGAACAGCTGTATTTATACTGAGATTAAATGACACACAGGTGGACTCTATGTACTAATTAGGTGACTTCTGAAGGCAATTGGTTCCACTAGATTTTAGTTAGGCGTATCAGAATGAAGGGAGCTGAATACAAATGCACACCACACTTTTCAGATATTTATTTGTAAAAAATGTTGAAAACCATTTCTCCTTTTCCTTCCACTTCACAATTATGTGCCACTTTATGTTGGTCTATCACATAAAATCCCAATAAAATACATTTACGTTTTTGGTTGTAACATGACAAAATGTGGAAAACTTCAAGAGGTATGAATACTTTTTCAAGGCATTGTTGACTCCTGATGTTCTCTTAGGGCCGGGTAACAGCAATTGTGGTGCAGGAATGCCCAACATCGCACATTTTCCCGCTCTACATGGGAATGTGCTGCCAGCTGCAGACATGCACAGGTACCATTCATCCTTAACCTCTTCGCACGGCCGCATGCAAATGTGCGGCCTCCCGGCGTCTGGGCCTTGATACCGAGCGGCCGCACATTTGTGTGCAATTAAGAAAAACATATGTGCTGAGAGAGCGTGCCCTGCGCGCTTCCAGCACACATGTCCAGTACTCACGGAAAGGTCCCAATCTCCTCTTTCGATCAGGACCTTTCCCGATCATGTGACAGCGAATCACGGCGGTCACTTGACCCTAAAACCCTGCACCTGCCTCCCGGCTTTTGAAACTCTTAAAGGGCTGGGAGGCACCGGCACCAAGGGGTTGATGACACCCCCACGTCTATCATAAACTTGGGTACGTTCGGGGCCACCAAAACGCATGGTTTCATGTAATTGGTGCAGCACAATTTTAAAAGCCGTGCCCTTCGTAAGGTTTGCACGTTCATCAGCTCATTGAAATGAATGGGCTCTTAAAAACACACTGCGCAGGAATGTGCGAAGCTGTGCGCCTGAACGCACCTTTTATGGTGTGAACCCGGCCCTCAGATCCCTGAGGTCTAGACAGCCTGTCACTACAATTATGTTATGGCATGGAGGACTATTTGTCCCCTATGTGATAGCAATAAAGTTAATTTTAAAAAAAAGGTTAGAAACTTAACCGCTTGCCGCCCTGCCACTGTATATATGTATGTGCAGGGCGGCAGTGGAGCGCAAAAGCATGTTTTAAAACGGGCTCCGCGCTCCCAACACTTTCGCGGGTAGGGGGCACGCGCGCGCAGCGCGCTCCCGCCGACCCGCAGGTGACACAATTCGATCCAGGAGGGATCAATCATTAGATTTCAGCCAGTGATTTCTGGCTGAAATTAGATGATCGGTCCCTGTCCTATCCTGTCCTGTGTTGACATTTACACAGGGCAGGATATGATGTCATTCTTCTCTGCCTGGACACATTCCGTTCCAGACAGAGAAGAAGACACAGTAAAAGTGAGTACAAAGCACTACACTAACAGTTAGAACACACCTAGGTCACATTTAACCCCCTGATCGCCCCCCCCAGTTAACCCCTTCACTGCCCTGTCACCAGTGTCACTGATCAGTGAAGTGATTTTTACTGATCACTGTATCAGTGTCGCTGGCGACTTCCGATAGAGTTAGCGCCCCTCCCAGATAGCGCCAGATTGCCCACTAGTACACCAGTAATCCCATTTAACCCCTTAATCTCCCCCCCCAGTTACCCCGATCAGTTTCGCCGTCACTGATCACTGTATCAGGGTCCCCCCCCCCCCCCCCTTAACTGCCCTGTCACCAGTGTCACTGATCAGTGAACCGATTTTTACTGATCACTGTATCAGTGTCGCTGGCGACTTCCGATAGAGTTAGCGCCCCTCCCAGATAGCGCCAGTTTGCCCGCCAGTACACCAGTAATCCCGTTTAACCCCTTGATCGCCCCCCCCCCCCCAGTTAACCCCCCCCTTCACTGCCCTGTCACCAGTGTCACTGATCAGTGAACCAATTTTTACTGATCACTGTATCAGTGTCGCTGGCGACTTCCGATAGTGTTAGCGCCCCTCCCAGATAGCGCCAGAGATTGCCCGCCAGTACACCAGTAATCCCGTTTAACCCCTTGATCGCCCCCCCCCCCCCCCCAGTTAACCCCTTCACTGCCCTGTCACCAGTGTCACTGATCAGTGAACCAATTTTTACTGATCACTGTATCAGTGTCGCTGGCGACTTCCGATAGTGTTAGCGCCCCTCCCAGATAGCGCCAGTCTGATTGCCCGCCAGTACACCAGTAATCCCGTTTAACCCCTTGATCGCCCCCCCCCCCCCAGTTAACCCCTTCACTGCCCTGTCACCAGTGTCACTGAACAGTGAACCGAATTTTTACTGATCACTGTATCAGTGTCGCTGGCGACTTCCGATAGTGTTAGCGCCCCTCCCAGATAGCGCCAGATTGCCCGCCAGTACACCAGTAATCCCGTTTAACCCCTTGATCGCCCCCCCCCCCCTCCAGTTAACCCCTTCACTGCCCTGTCACCAGTGTCACTGATCAGTGAACCAATTTTTACTGATCACTGTATCAGTGTCGCTGGCGACTTCCAATAGTGTTAGCTCCCCTCCCAGATAGCGCCAGATTGTTACCCGCTAATACACCAATAATCCCGTCTAACCCCTTGATCGCCCCCCCCCCCCCCCCCCGAGTTGACCCCTTCACTGCCCTGTCACCAGTGTCATTGATCAGTGAACAGATTTTTACTGATCACTGTATCAGTGTCGCTGGCGACTTCCAATAGTGTTAGCGCCCCTCCCAGATAGCGCCAGTTTGCCCGCTAGTGCACCAGAAATCCCATTTAACCCCTTGATCGCCCCCCCCCCCCCCCCAGTTTAACTCCTTCACTGCCCTGTCACCAGTGTCATTGATTACAGTGAACAGATTTTTACTGATCACTGTATTAGTGTCACTGGTGACTTCTGATAGTGTTAGCGCCCCTCCT